ATTATTATTATTATTATTATTATTAATTATTATTATTATTATTATTATTATTATTATTATTATTAATCATGCAACATTAATTTTCTTCGTAAAAACAAGCAATTGAAGAGTGCATGGGAGAATGGATGATAAGATTTATCTCCAAATCAAGCCAGCAGTGAACTTTAATATTTCAATCCTAACATTATATTTTAAATTACTGCACTAATGGAAAAGAGATGAATGACCAAAGATGAGACCCTAAACAGAAAGTGGTTTGGGCAAGAAAGATGAGAGTGCCATTATTTCTGAGCAACAAGGACAAGGGTCTACTTTATGCTGGCTGCAGATACACAGTGCTTTCCTTTCAGTAAAAACAGCTGTTGATTGTTTACAACGTTGATTGCGTAACAACATGCAGTACTGTTGTAACTCATTATTGGCTTCTTTTTTTTAAAATGTGGACACGATGGTTAAGGATGGTTTAAATCACTGTCATTTCTCAACACACTTTTTCTTAGTTTTGAAGCGTACGGTTGACAGTAATATTGATTTCAATCTACCGTTTGATCCAGTTAGATGGCCAATAATTTTTAACAAAAATGTGCAACACCCATAATGAAAATACAATAATCATCTTTATGTACTATGTCCAAACCTAACATTAATTTTTCAGAAGCAATACATCTTCCATTGAACACTTTTATTACACATACATCATAGGTGTGTACCCAGGGGTGACTCTCAATAATTTCAGCACTCCAAGCTTTGACCCCTCGTAAAATTTTCATAGAGACCCCTGTAGCCTTCAGTAATAAAACATTTTATTTCAGTAAACATGTTTAAACATTGATTTTCCATAACTGTAATACACCATTTGGGAAAGAGGCTCCCCAAGCAATCTGGCAACCCTGTAAAGGATTCACATAAAATCAATTGTATTATTGTAGAATGTTTTGGATGGATAAATAGAAGTAATCTTTCACAATGAAAATAGTATGTTCTATTTATTTACTAGAAAAATATGTCATATGAAAGTAAAAACATTTAATGGAAAAGGGGGTCCAGAAATGTTACCCCCTCTCCATATAGTCTGTGTGCGCCTATAACATACATGCATACTTACAAATGCACACACATTCTAGATAATCATTATCTTTATGACTTTTGAACACAATATTCTTATGTTCCAATATTTTCACTTGAGGATGTGCATGTTATGGTTTGAAGTGTCACTGAACATGAACTGTACTTCCATTTCTAACGGTTAGAGCATGCTGTTTATGTGTAAAAGAACGAAGACAGAGGATAAGATTGAAACCTGTGGGACCCCATGTTCAATTGGCAAAGAATTGGGTAGAGAAGTAAATAATGTTCTTTCATGTCATATGGTATTTCAACTTTTTACAATCAATGTTTAAGGTATGACAGTTGCTACCCTAGACGAATACTATGAATTCCATATGAAGGTAATTTTGAAAGCAAATCATTATGGGCAAGAACATCAAACGCTTTTGAAATATCTAAAATTATTCCAATAGATGCTTCATTTTCATCCATATTTAATAAAAGAAACAGGAATACTTTTAAAAAAAGAAGAAATGGTAGTCGTCAAGTAACTGGTGCAAAAATAAAGTGTTTCTCTGCAATATTGAATAAGAAACATTTGTTCTGCTCCTCAAGGAGAAGATAGGAGTGTTTTTTCCAATTAAGATCATTCACTCATTTATAAACCATAGCGTTAGCGTTCATGTTACCAAGATTATTTGTAGATTGAAACCAAAATTTCTGACATCCCTGAAGCTTCAAAACAATGAACAAACTTGTCACAAAAGTCAATAATTTAAACATATCTTGAGTAATGTCCAAGAGGAAGTGATCTATAGAGAAATAGCCAGCTACTTCAGGTTTAAATCCTAGTAACTACTTATAGAATTTTTAGTGAACACAGTTTATAGCAAGTCTCTTCCAGTTTCCTTTCCTGTCACCCCACCATTACTTCCTCAGCATGTCACATCAGTCACCACATCTAGAACGAGCGTTAGGATGTTGGGTATCATCATAAATAAATAAAATTTAGAACATTCAACAAACACAAGGCATATTCTGAAGAAGAGGGCCCAGGTTTTAGAAGCAACTTTAAATTGTCTCTTAACTGACTTTAGCAAGAGATCTTTATGTTTTCACTGAATCTAACAATAATACTGCTGAAGTCTCTTTAATCAGAAAAGATCTTGCCCATTCTATAACAGACAAACTGTTTGAAAATTATATCTTTGCACCCTTTCTTATCCTTTCACAATGCACCTAATATTATCAAAAGTATATGGAAAACTCCAATGAGCACCTGTAATGATAGCATCCACCAATGTTCTCTCTTCTTCAGTAAGCACAACATGATTACCCATTGATCCCATTTGTTTCCCATTAACTTTTATCTCTTTAATTGACATTACCTCTTCCGAAAATTCCGCAACCTTACAATACAAAACATTTTCTACTTGGATCACCGTAATTAGCTTTCAGTTCCTTATGATCATTTTTTCTCTCTCCTGCACTCCCATGCCACAATCTGTATTCATGTGGCATCAATTGAAATCACCCTACATAGACACACCCTGATAAGTTACTTCCATAAGAGCATATACACAAGTGAATTAAAATTGTAATTTGAGCAGACCTTCGAAAATACTTTAAACAATAGTGTCATATGCTTCAACGTTGTAAAGAATCGAAACTTCTTTCAATAATGAAGTAATCTATTCACTTGTAAATTATCAGTTGTCAGTTCAGTCAGTTGCAAATTATCAGTCATAATAGTTACTTATTGTCGATGCCACAGGAGACTTTACTACTCATCTTATTAGAATACTTCCGAAATTATACAGGGCAAACAAAAATACACTGCACAAACAATAATAATTTCATTTGCTTAGGATTTAGTTATTCCACAATTAATTTCCTGCAAAACAACGTGAGACTTAAATAAGTCACACCTGAGATATAATGAAGTAAACCTGTAGAATTTCTAGAGGATATCAGTCTAGTGGAAAATAAATGTTAGTACATTTCAAGTTCTATGGTACCTGGAATTGTTCTCTCTTTGTAGGATATTGTATTCAAGGTCTAATATTTCCCTACAGAATTGCAAACATCTGAACATTGCAAAGTTTGAAAGAGTACTGCAAAATCCATCTGCCAGTCAAATAGGTGTATCTGTTTATTACAAGCAACATTTCAAAAAGTGGATTTAATTTACCAAATAAGTGCACAAAAGTAAAAAGAAAACAATATTTCAATAAATCAATTTTTATTAAGTGTTATCATTTTGATGAAATTTATTGAACCCATTCTTGTTGTATGCGCAACAGGTGTCAACGATATGCACTGACTGTCCAAATACAGAAAAGGGCATATATGAAATGCTGTATATGCATTAATCACATCTTTCTGAGTGACCAGTTCTGGGAACCAAACAAATCTTTTAAATTTAAACACTGAATGAAAGGAAAAAATTTCAAGATCACGATACTTTACTTCCAGAATACAGACTGCACAATTGTTAAGGAGAACTACGCACTTTTTACAAATTAAATTACGTCTTAAATTTGAAACTTATATTGTTTACTTCACTGAAGGTATAATTCTAACAGAACAAGTAGGACATGCGCAAAACAGAATGATTTTCTAATTACAAAAACTATTTTAAGTTGTACTTGTGAATGTTACAAGATTTTTTGAATAATTTTATTTACTAAACTATGTGTTTCTACAATTTTTAATAAAAATTTCTTTCAAATCTCTTGTATAGTTGAAAATAATAATTTAATATTTGCTTCATGTGCCACCATGTAAGTGTGCAAATAGAAAACGCATACAGACTACAAGAATTTTATAAATTTTTGAATTGAATTGCTTAGAGGCAGCAAATTCTTATTCAATTTAGAGAAAGGAAGTTAATGCTGACAATGCTGGATGTTTCTAAAGGATGTTTATTGAAATTATTAATTGTCCACTATTAAATCCGACTAACTTTAGAACAAAATTGAATTGCCCATTGCAGTTCTTTTCTAAAATACATTTAATCACCAATGTCTCAAAACTAAAGAGCAAGTCATTTTGATACATTGTTCTCTCTCTCTCTCTCTCTCCCTCTCTCTCCCTCTCTCTCTCTCTCTCCCTCTCTCTCTCT